CTACAGCCCGCCGCAGGTGAGAGGTTGAGCCCGTGGGCCCACATGTTCTTGAACCCCAGCAGGTTAGAGGGGCCTTCTGAGGATGTCACCCCAAATTCTCCTCTAAGGGAGACTTGGGGCAGCACTGGTCCCCTAGGGGCCTGACTGCTCCAGGCTCGCTCTCACCTCAGGCCCTTAAGTGGGGCTGTCTTTCTTTAGTTGGAAGGTCTAACCCCACTGTGGCCAGCATGTCAAGAATGGGGCGCTGAGTGTGCAACCCTGGGCAGCCCCAGGCCCAGCTGGTGGGCAGCCAGGGCTGTGGCAGCAGCTCTCCAGAGCAGTGTTTTGAGGCCAGCCACCAGACACAAGCAAATGGATCCCAGAGCCGGGGTTGCCAGAGTGTTTCCTGAGGAGACGGCTGAGCAGGCACCCCCTAAATGGCCTGGGACACATGGCTTCTCTCTATTTTTATTTGTTTATCTGGGAAGCAGAGGACAGAGGCAGAGAGCTCCCACCCACTGCTTCCTTCCCCAGGTGCCAATAGCCAGGACTAGATCGCAGCAGAACCAGGGGTCAGGCTCAGCTAAGATTTCCTAAGTGGACGGTGGGCTAGCCATGTGAGCCTCAGCTGCTTCTCTGTCAACAGGAAGCCAGAATCGGGCACGGAGCAACTCGGACCCTGGCATCCCAGCGCTCCATTAACATCCTGCCAGCCCAACTGGGCAACCCTACCGTAGATAGATGAAAGCTTTGGTACTAAGGACCCTGGGGTGAAAGTTCCTTTTCAGCTGCGTGACCTTGGCCCAGGACTTCACCTTCTTGCTCTCCAGTGTCCTCTATTAAATGGAGCTTGTGGGACCCTCAGGGTTCCCATGGAAATTAAGTTCACGATGCAGCCTGTACCGGGCAGCATTGGGTGAGCTGCCCCCACCCAGTGTTTCAACAGGTCTGTCTGCTGATCGCCCAGTGCCGCAGGCCCAGGGTGTGCGCTTGCAGGCTTCATGGTTTACAGAAAAGGAGCCTGGTACTGCACCATGTGCCCTGCCGGGTCTTCAAGGTTTCATGGGAGCCTGGGAGTGGCCGTTGGTCCTGACCCATCCGCTCCTCAGCCCTCCAGCAGCCTCCCGGGGGGCCCTTCCTGTATCGCTCTGTGGTCTGCTCTGCACCCACGCCTTGGTACTTTTTCTTTGCCTTCCAGCCGAGCTACAGCCAGCCACCCTATAGCCAGGGAGGCTACAGCCAGGGCTACACCGCCCCACCGCCTCCACCACCGCCACCACCTGCCTACAACTATGGGAGCTACGGGGGCTACAGTCCGGCCCCCTACACCCCGCCACCGCCCCCAACTGCACAAACCTACCCCCAGCCCAGCTATAACCAGTATCAGCAGGTAGGTGCCAGATGCAGGAGAGGTGCCAGGGGATTCCCTTGGGTGGGCATTCCCAAACTTAGACCCCCCCACTATCCCCTACAGTAGTAGGCTGCCTGCTGGCCACTGTGCAGCCTTTCCCTGGCACAGCATGCCAGCGTGGAGGCCTCAGGGCTGCAGACACTGCTTCTGTACCATTCCAGGGCCTTGGGGTCCTCCTTGGGCTGCCAGGCCTGTTAGCTGGCTCAGTGGCACTGGGTGGGCAAGCTGGGAATCCAAGCCCCACCCCGGCTGCCTGTCCCATTCCCAGGTGAAGGTGGGGCTCAAGGTGGAGCCCAGTGTGCAGTGCAGTGGGGTAACCTGGTGCTGTTGGTCTCTTTCCAGTACGCCCAGCAGTGGAACCAGTACTATCAGAACCAGAGCCCGTGGCCGCCCTACTACGGGAACTACGACTACGGGAGCTACTCTGGGAGCACCCAGGGAGGCGCAAGCACTCAGTAGCTGGTGTGTTCCTGAGGCTGCAGAGGCCCCCATGGCTTCCTCCACCAGCGCCGCCTCGGCCCTGCACCCTGACGTCCTGGCTCCTCCCAGGGCCGCCTCTGGCGGGGCCCCTCCCCTGCGCAGGGCCGGGCATTTTTCTCTGGATTCGAACAGGCAACAGTACCTTTTACTTTGTTTGTCCCCTACCTCCCGTCTCTCCTCCGCTTCCTCCCGCCGCCTTTTTGATGGAAGACTTCCCCCAGGACTCCCCTGTCCTCGGTCAGCAGCGAGGCCGGGGCGCAGGGGAGGCCCTCGAGCCCCACTCACCCGCCCGCCCTGGGCCTCCCCGGCCCTCCTGCAGTTGGTTGTAAACTCTTCCAGGAGCTGTTTTACTGTCTACTTTTCAGGATTAAAAAAAAAAAATCAAAAACTTTAAAAAAAAGTTTAAAAAGCAAAATACGGAGGGAGGAAGCAGTGACCTATTTTTTTGGTAATTATGCTTTTTTTAATGTTTAGAATCTGTCCGTTTTTACTGGGGGGCGGCCGCTGACATTTCACCGAGGTGACCCTTCCTTGGCCGAGGAAGGGCCGCACCGCCACACACACCCCAAAGCGCAGGATCATCTGTAACCCGACTTTTTATACGACGTCTCAGTCCCCGTAACTGCACACGAGCTTCTGTGTTCAGTTGAATTGTAACTGCTTTTTGTATTTGGAGAGAGTGTGACTATTGAACTTGAAACCTTTTATTCTGGGCGTCTTGGTAGTTTCTGGTGGGATTCAGTGTGGGACGGGGAGGGGGAGGGAGGCCCCCCACGCCCTCGGGATGGGGCCCCGGGTGCCAGGCCTCAGCACTGTCCCCACCCCGGTCCTCGAGGGTTACTCCCCCGACCTGTGTGTTTTAACAGGATTTTAACAAACTGCACTTATTAAGAAATGTGTCTGCCCTGCTTGATTCTTGTTTGGTTTCAGTAGATGACCTGGCACCCAGCTGGCAGCAAGCAGGTGGCATCCTGGGGCAGCACCTGTAGCCAGCCTTGACTTGCGGACAGCTGTCACTCATCACCGACTCCCTGAGGCACTTGGGGCAGAAAACGTCCCCTCAGACCCAGGGTCCCTCCTCAGTCTAAAATCCAACCAGCTCATTTCCAGTTCTCAATCCCAAAACCTTTCAGAAACTGGGATATTTATTTGAAAGGTTGGCATTATAGGAAGGCAAGAACAAAGATCTCCCACTCCCCAAATGATTGTAACAGCTAGCCCAGTCTCCCGTGTGTGTAGGGAGCAGGTATGACAGCAGGGAGCTGCAGCAGTGGCAGGGCAGCTGGCCCCCCACTGGTGACGTCATGGGGTGCTGCCATCCCGTGTAGCCCCGCCCACAGACCTGTGCAGCTATAAAGCACCTGCCTGGGCTGAGGGCTGGGGGACTGATGCGGGGGTGAGGGCTGGCTGGTGTGGCCCTGGGTGTGTCACAGCCGTCCCCCTCCGCCTGGCTGGGACAGGTGTGTGTGCCTCCCTCACAGCACATGACTCCCTCGGCTGCCCTAGAGCCTGGGAGCCCCGCACCACCCCGCACAGCCACACCCCTCCACCTGGGCCTGCACAGCTGTCTGCCCTCCTTTGGGCAGTATGTGACTGTCCCTCCATAGTCCTGTGGTCACAGCTGTCCTAGAGCCTGGGCTCCTGCTCCAGGCACCACATGGCCAGTGGGAAGGAAGGGCCGGAAAATGGAGCCGTTAACACCCCTGTGCCATCCTCCCCCAGCTACTGCCCCGTCTCAGCTCTTGGTGAGGGACCATGCAGGCCGGGAGCACCCAGTCCAGCCCCAGTCCCTTCCCTTGCTGGAGCTCAGAGCCGTGCAAAGCTGACTGGGCTCAGGGTCCAGGGTGAGGCATCAGCACCAGACAGTTTGGGGTCACCATCCCAGAGGGACCCTAAACCTCCCTGGCCCTGCGGGTCTCCCCATGCCCTGGGCCCTTGTGCTATGCGGCGGCGCCCTCTGCTGGCCTCGCCTGTGGTGTGCCCTCTGTAGGCGTGTTGCATGGCCTGCTGGGTCCCCAGGCCCAGGAGTGGACCAGGAAGTTCCAACTCTGATCAGTGCAGGTCTTTATTATTATTATTATTATTATTATTATTAGAAAGTCAGATTTACAGAGTAGTGACAGATCTGTCCGTTGATTCACTCCCCAAGTGGCCACAAGGCCATCCGAAGCCAGGAGCTTCTTCAGGTCTCCCATGTGGGCACAGGATCCCAAGGCAGTCCTTGACTGCTTTTCCAGGCCACAAGCAGGGGGCTGGGTGGGAAGGGGACAGCTGGGACACGAGCCGGTATCCATATAGGATCCCAGCAGGTACAAGGATTTAGCCTCTAGGCTACTGCGCCGTGCCCCCTCCTGGTTGAGCTGGCTTATTCCCAGTCCCCTCCTTGGGGGATGAAGCAGCCCAAGGTGCTTAAAGCAGCTTGTTGGAGACCTTAAGCCCCACGTGACCCTGGTGGCTCCCAGGCTTCTGGAACGTGCCCGCTGTGCAAGGTAGACATGTACACGGCCAGGGTTGGCTCCTTGATCCAACAGCTCAGTCCGCCTCGTGCGAGGGGACGTGTCCCTGTTCCCAGCTGGGGTACACGCGCCTGCCGACACGCGGGGGTCCTCAGCCTGACCCCACGGGCACGCGGGGGCCCTCAGCCTGACCCCACGGGCACGCGGGGGCCCTCAGCCTGACCCCACGGGCACGCGGGGGTGTCAGCCGGCCCCCACGGGCACGAGATGGCCCAGACCCCCGACCCCCACGGGCACGCGGGGGCCCTCAGCCGGCCCCGGCAGGGTCAGGTGGCCCTCAGCGGGCCCGGCCGTCCTCCCCGCCCTGCACACGTCGGGGTTAGCCTTCCTGACCGGCCCCACGGCGCAGCTCCAGGCCTCGGGAGCCGCGGCTCGGCCAGGAGAGGCTGACCGCGTGCCCCTCGCCCGGCGCCCCTCAGTGCCCGCCTCCCCCTCGCCCTGCACCCCTCAGTGCCCGCGTCCCCTCGCCCGGCGCCCCTCTGTGCCCGCCTCCCCCTCGCCCGGCCGCCTAAGGCTCCCTTGACCGACGGAGACACGCATGCGCACACCAAGATCTCCGTTCAGCCCGGAACCTTAGTGTCTGGGTGTGCTGCAGCACCGACCCGGGGAACTTGCTCAGCCGGAAGTAGCTGCCGAGAGCCGACGGGTCGGGACTGGGTTGCGGAACCCTCGGCGCGGCAGTTGCTAAGTCGGAGAGAAAGGCGCGATGGAGGCCGTGGCGACCGCGGCGGCGGCGGCGGGACCCGATGCGGGTGAGGCCCGGCCCACGCAGGCGCGGCGGGAGGGTGCAGCGGCGCGGCGCTGGGAAGTGACTCCCCAGGAACACGGAGGAAGGCGGACTCCTGACGGAGGGACACCTGCCCTCCGCTCCAGGTGTCGGGCGGCCGTGCCCGGCCTGGGTCCTCTTTCTGCCCGGCCTCAGTCCTGACCCCAGGTCCCCCCAGACCCAGGGGAGCCCCTGCCCCGGGTCTTCCCTCCAGCCGTCCCGGGGAGCCCCTGCCCGGTCTCGGTCCTGTCCCCGGGTCCCTCCAGTCTCCCGCGTCTGCCTCTGCAGGGCCCCCCTCACACCTGCTGCCTCCCTCAGCCCTCTCCCTTGCGTCTTCCGTGTGTGTGCTCCCTACTCCTTTGGCCTCCTCTTGGAGTCCCGTCCCATTGCTGTGTCAGCCACGGAGGGAGGCCTGGGCCCCCGGCTGCACGGGGCCCCCTCCGCCCCCCAGTTGCTGAAGGCAGGTCATGGGAACACGGAGGAGGGTGAAGGGTGTCATCTGTTCTTTTATGTACTTGAAACTTTACGTTAAGCAACAAAACAAAAACCAGTTGAACCCTGACATGAAGAACTATTTTTGGAAGATTTGCTTTTTAATTTTTTTGTAATTTTTTTGTATAGTCTGGGATTCCCCGCTCCCCCAATTTGGAAGATTTATTTGTATTGGAAAGGCGCGTTTACAGAGAAGAGACACATAGAAAAATGTTTCCCATCTGGTTCACTCTGCGAGTGGCTGCAGCAGCCACAGCCAGAACTGAGCTGATCCAAAGCCAGGAGCCAGGAGCCTCTTCCGGGTCTTCCAGGCAGGCTCAGACTCCCAAGGCTTTGAGCCATCCTCGGCTGCTTTCCCAGGCCACAAGCAGGGAGCTGGATGGGAAGTGGAGCAGCCAGGCCACGAACCAGCACCCACATGGGATCCTATGGTTTCCAAGGGGAGGATTAGCCACTTGAGCCATCACGCTGGCCCCTGAAATGAAGACCCCAATGTTTCCAGCCCATGCTGCCTTCCAGAGCAGAGCCACAGCGTCCACCAAAGCCCAGTGCCCCGCGGGCAACTCTCCCACCCCCTCTGCCCCCACCCCCTCTGCAGTGTGGCTTCCTGGCACCTCAGACCTTTCTCTTACTAGACTACCTAGAGGGTTTGTTGACATTGCACCCCCTCCCCAATCCTCTCCCCTGCTGGGATGTCCCACTTCCTTCTAGCCTTCCAGTGCGTTTTGTGCCACAGCCACTGTAACAGGTGACTGCCCACTGGGTTTATCTGCGAGAAAGCTGGACAGGAAGAGCTCTGGTCCATTGGGTCACTCCCCAGATGCCCATAATAGCCGCCACGGAAGCCCAATCCAGTTGTGCCACGTGGAAACGGAAGCTGAGCGCAGCGTGCGCCCACACTGCTGCCTGTCCGGGTCTGTGTTCCCAGGAAACTGGGAGTCGGAACCAGTAATTGAAGATAGGCGCTTTGATATAATATTATATATATATATAATATGTTATTATATATAATCTATGTGTATAATATTATATGTATGTGTATATAAAGGCAGAGCTAGAGAGAGGTCTTCCATCCACTAGTTCACTCCCCAGTTGGCCACAATAGCCAGGGCTGGGCCAGCTGGTTCAAAGCCAGAGGCCAGGAGCTTCTTCCGGGCCTCCTGTGTGGATTCAGGAGCTCAAGCGCCTGGACCATCTTCTGCCTTCCCAGGCTGTCAGCAAGGAGCTGGATAGGAAGTGGAGCAGCTGGGACCAGAACCAGTGCCCATGTGGGATGCCAGCACCACAAACAGCAGATTTGTGCACCACCAGGACCTGGTATTCTAACCACTAGGCAGGATGCCTACTCCCCTTCCTTCCTGGCTACTTTCGAGGGGCTTTGCCACCCGTGTCCCACGTCCCTAACAGACCTCAGCATCTTTGCCCGCACCTGCTCTTCCCCAGGGCCCTGTCTTGGGGAGTTTGACGGTTCTCCAGTCTGGAGCCCTGGACACCTCCTGCAGTCCCTGCCCTGCTCCTGCTGGCTTGTCAACTCAGTGGCTGGACTCCCCTGCACCCATAAGCCTTGCCCCGTGGGTCCCCAGCCACCTGAAGGCCTTGTCCCTACTTGGCACCACGGGCTGCAGCCTCTCGCCAAGGCTTGCCCGGCACTCAGCATTTTGCCGATTCTGCCTTTTGTGTCTTTGATCTGGATTGTCTGCTAGCCAGCTGTGCTACCTCAGTGGGATCCTTCCTCTGCCGTGGAAGGCTCACCTGTCAGAGCTGAAGTGCAGTGGGCAAGTACAGGGAGGGGACAGCTTAGTGACTGGGTGACCAAGTGAAGAGTGGGGGACTGAGTGGATCAGCGAGGTGGACCCCGAGTTCTTCGCTCAGCTGCTCTCTGCCTTGAACTCTCTTCCACCAGAAATCCTGGGTCCCTGTCCTTAACTGCGTGGATCTCTACACGTATGTTGCTTTTTGCCAAAGCCTTCTCTGACCCTTGTATTTAAATGAGAAATTTTTTTTTTTTTAAATTGCAGCCTCATGGCCTCGTCAGAGTGCCTGAGTCTGAGGTCCAGCCTCGTGCTAACACAGGTTCCATGGGGCAGCCCTGCTGGCTCAGGCCTCTCCCACTCAGCGGGAGGCCAGGATTGGTGTTCTGGCTCCTGGCTCCAGTGTGGCCTGGTTGTAGCAGCTGTTGTAGCAGTTGGGCAGTGAACAAGGTGTGAGGGCTCCATCATGCCTCTTTCTCCCTCTCAGATAAGTGAACACACAGGTAGGAGTGGGCACTTGGCCCAGCATGTTGGTCACTGCTTGGAACACCCACATTCCATGCCACAGTGCCCAGCTCAAGCCCTGGCTTCCCTGCTTCCTGCTGCTGTAGACCCTGGGCAGCAGGTGTGGCGGCTGGAGGACATGGGTGCCTGCGACCCACCCACCCACCCACGAGGGAGACCTGGATGAAGGTCCAGGCTTTTGGTGTTGGCCTGGCCTGAGCACAATGAAAATGTGGGTATGCCTTTCCCTTCCCTGTCCTCCCCCTCTTCCCTCTCTTTCAGATGAAGTGAAAATATTTGTTTTTCAAAAGATTTACTTATTTTTATTGGAAAGGCAGATTTATGAAGAGAAGGAGAGACAGAAAGATCTTCTGTCTCATGGTTCATTCCCCAAATGGCTGCAACAGTTAGAGCTGAGCAGAACTGAAGCCAGGAGCCAGGAACTTCTTCCAGGTCTCCCACGCAGGTGCAGGGTCCCAAGGCTTTGGGCCGCCCTCCACTGCTTTCCCAGGCCACAGGCAGGGAACTGGATGGGAAGTGGAACAGCCAGGACTCGAACTGTTGAGTGCCTTTATGGGATTGTAGTGCTTGTATGTAGAGGATTAGCCAATTGAGCCATTGTGCCAGGCCCCCAAATAAATTTTTTAATAATGAATAAAATTTTAAAATTGCAGCCTGTCTCCTATTGACTCTCTTCGCTTTCTGGCTCTAGGAAGCATCCAACATATTGTGTGTGTTGAATAACTACATTGTCAATTGTCTGTGCTCCCCAGCTTGACTGTCAGCCCCAGAAGTGTCCAGAACACAACAGGTGCTCAGGAAAGGGGGAGGAAGAAGCTCCTGGCCTGTCTTTCCCTGAGCTTATTCCTTCTCTCTTCCCAGGCTGCACGGAGCCCAGACCTGGGCACTGGGGGGAGCTGAGCCCCCAAAACAAGACGGAAGCGGTGGAGGACGCGCTGGGAAGTGTGGAGAGTGACACCCCCGCAGCCGAGCACCCGGCAGTGAGTGCCATGCTGCATGCCGTGGCTGCCAGCCCCCTGCCTGTGTGTAGCCAGCAGCAGGGCGAGCCTGACCTGACCGAGCGGGAGAAGGTGGCCATCTTGCGGCAGCTTTACCAAGAGAAACCACTTGTGTTCCTGGAACGCTTCCGCACCGGGCTCCGTGAGGAACACCTGACCTGCTTTAGCCACCTGCGTGGGGACCACCGTGCAGATTTCTACTGTGCCGAGGTGGCGCGGCAGGGCAGTGCCCGGCCCCGCACCCTGCGTACCCGCCTGCGGAACCGGCGCTACGCTGCGTTGCGTGAGCTCATCCAAGGTGGGGAGGACGGAGCTAGGCAGAAACAAGGATTTGGGAGCAGGCTCAGGCTCCAGGAAGACAGAAGTGCGAGCCCAGCACCTCCAGAGGCAGGGGGACAGGTGGCAGCTCTGAGGACATGGGACATAGCAGGGAGCACCCACTGCTGCTGGGGACAGGCCAGTGCTGCCTCACTGCACACAGGGTGATGCATCTATGGCCTTGGGGGGTGTTGTCTTCTTTTTTTAACTTACTTACTGCTTACTTGAAAGGCAGAGTCCGAGAGGGAGAGAGATTTTTTTTTTTAAAGATTTATTTATTTATTGAAAAGTCAGATATACAGAGAGGAGGAGAGACAGAGAGGAAGATCTTCCGTCCGATGATTCACTCCCCAAGTGAGCACAACAGCCAGTGCTATGCCGATCCGAAGCCAGGATCCAGGAACTTCTTCCGGGTCTCCCACACAGGTGCAGGGTCCCAAGGCTTTGGGCCGTCCTTGACTGCTTTCCCAGGCCACAAGCAGGGAACTGGATGGGCAGTGGAGCTGCCGAGATTAGAACTGGCGCTCATATGGCATCCCGGCATGTTCAAGGCGAGGACTTTAGCCACCCGGCTAAAGTCGTCGGCCCCGAAAGAGATTTTCTATGCACTGATTCACTTGCTGAATGACCACCAAGGCCGGGACTGGGCCAGGGTGGAGCCTGGAGCTTGTTCTGGGTCTCCCATGTGGGTGCAGGGCTTCGAGGCCCTTGAGCTATGCTCTACTGCTTTATCAGGCCATTGGCAGGGAGCTGAATGGGAAGTGGGACAGCTGGGACCCTGTGTCCATGTGGGGTGCCAGTGTTACAGGCAGTGGCCCCCTTTGGGACATCCTGATCAGGACAGGGTGACAGCCGTGAATGAGACCTCGATGCCTTTCTGACCACAAGTTCACTGAGCATCTTTGGCCACAGACATAGCAGCCAGGCAAAAGAGCCATGAAGGCAGCAAAGTTAGCCAAACGCCAGTAGGGGAAAGGCCTTGAGGAAGTGTGTAACATGGGCAGGCAGGGAGGGGATGACAGAGGAAGGGGTGAGAGAGGGAGGGCTAAGTGGCAGAAACTGACGAAGGAAGCAGAGATCAGGGAAGGGGGAGTGATCTGAGCCAGGGAGAAAGAGGAATAGAAAGTTTGATAGAAGAGGCTGGAAACAGAAGTGGGATTGAGACAGAACAGAGCAGGGTTGAGGGAGCAAGCTAGACCCCAGTGCTGCGGGCTCTCAGCCTGGGGTTAGGACCCAAGAGTAGGGGGCCAGGGGCAGGTGTGGTGGCCGCCAGAAGGACAGAAGCAGTCCTGCAGAGACTTCCAGGGAAGACGCATGGGGCATGGGGGGCAAGCCTGGCCCCCCACGGGGGGTGCAGAGGAGTGTCCTGGGGGAGAGAGGTCAGAGGTGGGGCCTGCAGCCACCCTGTGGGCAGAGGCACCGCTAGACCTGATCCCAGGTCCACGTGGGTGTGTGCACGTCTGTGTAACAGTGCATGTGTGTGCACTCGCAGCCAGGCCAGGGCTCAACGGGTGTGCATGCCCTGCCTGCGTGGTCCGCGTGCCACCGCTCAGGCACAGCTGGCTGTGGGCTGCTGGCCTCTACTGGCTCTGAGGCTGCCCCTGCGTATGCCCGGGTCAGTGTTCACAGCTCAGGCCCATGGTTCTCCTGCATACCTGAACATGCCCATGTCTACTGAGAAATGCTCACCGCACGCCCTTGTGTCTCCACACAGCGGGGGAGTACTTCAGCGATGAGCAGATGCGGCTCCGGGCCCCACTGCTGTACGAGCAGTACATCGGGCAGTACCTCAGCCAGGAAGAACTCAGCGCCCGTGCCCCAATCCAGCCCCCCAAGCCCGGCGCCCCCGGCACTCCTGCCTGCCCGCTCTCCGATCTGCTGCTCCAGTCCTACCAGGAGCGGGAGCTGCAGCAGCGACTGCTCCAGCAGCAGGAAGAAGAGGAGGCCTGCTTGGAGGAGGAAGAAGAGGAGGACAGTGATGAGGAAGGTGAGGGCCAGGAGCAGGGGGACCCAGCATCCAGTCACAGGCCTGGCCCTGAGCGCCCTCCCAAGCTCTCCCACATCCCTGTCCCAACTCCTGGAGTGCCCAGTGCTTCCCCCACCCTGAGGTGGCCAGAGCACTGTATGGGCATTGTGTAGCTGAAGTGCATGCCCCTGGGGGGGCAGGGCAGGGCTGGCTCAGGCCCGCATCCACCCCAGTGCTGCTCCAGTGCCCTGCTCACATGCCCACTGTGGTGTCCCCACTGCAGACGAGAGGTCTGGCAAAGACTTGGAGACCTGGGTCCCTGACTCGGAGGAGAGGCTGATCCTGCGGGAGGAGTTCACCAGCCGCATGCACCAGCGCTTCCTGGATGGCAAGGACGGCGACTTTGACTACAGGTGCTCTGGGGTCCCCGGCCTCCCCGACCCCCTGGTGAGCCAGATCAGCCAAGCAACGTGGCTGCTTTGAACCAGGGCCTCAGCCAGGAGAGGTGTGAACAGGGCTGCCCTTGGCACTGCAGATGGCAGCGGCCCAACAGGAGGCCGCTCCCAAAGCCCTCTCTGTCCACCACCTCCACCTGTCTCAGGCTGCAGGAAGTAGCCCTGGCAGGGTTAACGCCTATGGCAGGGCTTTGCAGGGACCAACCATGCCAGCTGTCCATTTTCCTGAGAGACCTGGGCAGAGACACCTAGGCCACCTGCCCAGGAAAAGCATGGGCCACCAGCTCAAGGACACAGGATCAGAGGGAAGTGGCTTCGTCAGCAGAGGGAGTCCTGCCTGTGGTTGGGAGTAGCAGCCTGGCAGCATACACTGTCCCTCCCTCCAGGCCCAGGACTGTGGCCTGGGAACGATGCCACCTGGAGCAGGTGTGGTGGGTATCATGGTCTCTATCACTGGGGCATCTGTACACAGAGCATCCCGACCCATTTGGGGATCCCCCGGCTGAGGGGTCTGACAAATCTACCCCCAGCCGCAGTGCAGCTTCCCAGAACCCCCCGCAGGGTACCCAGCTCATGGGATCCCTTGGCGAGTGACACCACTGCTGTCGACAAGCCAGGTACCCACGAGGGCAGCAGTGGCCTGCCAGGTCCTCGCCCACAATAAGTCAACATGTGCTTGGCGTCTGCCCAGTCCAAGCTCGGGAAAAGCAGGGAACCAAACCAAGGAGAGGTCTTCCTGTCTGGAACAGGTCCCCTGCAGTGAGGGCAATGGAGAACGGAAGCGGGGTGGGAAGGCTCTGTGAGGAGGCAACCCGTGGGGCAGGGAGAGCGCCCAGGGTGGTGAGGGGTCAGAGCACCTGTGTGTGGTCCACCGAGTGGCAGGGAGTGGAGTTGTGTCCCTGGTCCCCGGGCCCTGCCAGGAGCAGACCCCGGCTGTGCCGATCAAGTAGCATAGTACCCCAGGAGGCAGAATCGCCCTGTTGGGAACCCCTGGCTGCCTGGGAAGGTGGCCGTGTCACCGGGTCTTTCTGCGCTTTGAGAAAGCCAACTTTCTATGAAACGTGATTTGGAAGACACTTCCTTTTGCTGTAAGCGCTCAGGCCGTATTCCCCCTCTGCGGCCAAATATCACAGCGCTAATGACCTCTGACCTAGGGAGGTCCCAGGCTGTGACCGTCTTGCCCCTCCACAGCACCGTGGATGACAACCCTGACCTGGACAACCTGGACATTGTGGCCCGGGACGAGGAGGAGCGCTATTTTGACGAGGAGGAACCTGAGGATGCCCCGAGCCCCGAACCTGACGGCGACTGACAGCTACCACCCTCCCCTGCCTGGCAAGGCCACTGCTGCGGGCCCGGCCCAGTGACTACAGGGGAGTCGGCGCTCCCACCTGCTGGTGCCTCTGACCTGGCCCACCCCTTCTGTTTCTGGGTCCCCTTCTCTCCCTCCTCCCCTCTCCAGAGCTGTGTGTGTGTCTCCCCTTTTGTCCCTCTCTGTCTCGGGCCCAGCGTGCAAGTCCTCCCCATGACAGCCAGCATGGCTCTTTGGGGCATGTCCGCGTCACTGCCAGTCTCACCTCCTGGGCCCATGCTTCCTGCCTGTGGTTTCCGTTTTTCCCCAGCCACGGCATCTCTCCCTTATCTCCTCCCACCCCAAGCCCTCTGCTTCTCCCCCAGGCTTGGCTGTCAGGGCATAGGCCTGGCACAAGCCCTTGTCTCCCTCAGGACCCAGGCTGGCATGGAGTTGGGCAGGCCTGGGGGTCCTGGGTCCTGCCAGCTTGGGAGGGAGGGGGGAGTTCCCCTTCCCAGCCCCAGCAGCCCCCCTCTGCCCAGCCACAATTTTCCCTTCCTTCACTTCCTCCGCCTCCTTCTCCCCCGTTTACACTCCCCCAATCCGCACAGGCTGTTATCAGGGCCCTGAGTCATCCCACACAGCCAGCCCCAGCCTCCCTGCCCCCAGCCCGCCACAGGGCCCGCCCCGGGAGCCCCCTGCCGCCCTGGGCTAATGGGAGCCAGATGGCTGCCTGGTGACTCAGCCACCGGCCTGTGGGAACCCAGGCGACCTGCCTTCCCATGCCCCGCACCCCTCTGCTCCCCCAGCACAGGGGGAACTGGTCGCTACTGTGGGAGTGGGTGGCATAAGCCAGGGGTCAGCCAGGCTGGCCTGGGGATCCCTGGCTCTTCTGAGAGAATGGTGGTACCCTGGCCATGCCAGACCCCCCAGGTCACCTCCTGGGCTCCTGCTCTGACCCCGGGCTCACATGTAGGTCAGCCCAAATTTGGGAGCAAAGGCAGTGAGAGGCAGGAAAGCGTAATGGTCACGGCAGAGCCCGCCCTAGATCAGGTGCCTGGCACCACACCACAAAACATACCCCTGGACTGGGGACCCCAGCTCCTCCCTGATGTTCAGGGAGGCCCCGTGTGGAGGGACTGTGGGCTCAAGAAGTGAAGTCTGGGGATCCTAGGTCTGGAACCATTTTGTCATCCTAGGAGAGGAAGATGGGAGAAGGGTCCATATTGGGCATGGCAGCGCAGACCCCTCATGTGCCAGCCCCTAGTGGTTAGGACCTGGCAGTGCTGATCCATCCCCAGACTCCAGGCTGGTGCTGGAGTCACAGCAGGGACTGAGTGAGAGGTGGGCGGCCATCACCTGGGTGCTGGCGTTTGCCCCGCGATGTGGGAGACCGGGCGTGGTCTGTCATCTGATCATTAAATCTCTTAAGATAGACTGTGCAGGCCAGAAATGTTACTTTTTTCTTTCTTTCTTTCTTTTTTTTTTTTAAGAAAAGAAATGAGAGCCACAGCAGTTGAGTCAGAGTTAGGGTTAGTCAGATGGTCCAGACGGGAGCGTCTGGCTGAGAGACCGAGGCGGGGCCAGTCCAGGGACAGGGATTAGACAGGGAGACAGGAAGAGAGCTGGGGACTCCAGGCAGCTGACCCCGCGGGTCCCACGGTGTGGACTCCCCGGCCTGGGGTGGGTGGAGAGGCTGAGTCAGGGAGGCTGGCCTGCTGGGGAGAGCCCCTTGGTGGCACCCGGCCCCCGCCTCCATGTCGCCTGCTTGTTCTGGCCCAGCCATTCCCTCCCCTGTCTGCCCTTCTCCCCCCTGGCGACTGACACCTCTGCGTCCCTGTGTTCCACCAAAGCTGCTGCCGGCCACTCCTGTCCCTTGAGTCTGCCCTGCACTGGCTCCTCTGCCTTCTGCCCTCCCCTCCCCCTTCACACTCAGCCCCTGCCCCGCTCTGGCTGCCAGCAGCTCCCCCAGCCCTGTGCCCACTGCCTCTCCCCTCTGTCATTCTCTCCGCCGCTGTCACCGCCTCTGTCCCCCCCATGCCTTGCTCCGCGGACACGTCCCCTCCTGCCCCGGTCTTTGCTCTCATATTTTCCTACCCTTCTCCCGGCTCCTGACTGGCCCTCCCTCCCCAACCCCTGCCTGTCTCCCAGGCACATCCAGGGCAGAGCTGCACTGCGCTCTAGAGTGAGGGTCGCTGCCCCCATGCAGGAGGGGTGCGGCCAGGCTGTGGCAGTTGTCTGGCCAGAGGGAAGCGTCTGTGCTGTGGCCTGGTCACTCCTGCCCCCAGGACCTGCTGGGCCGAGGCCTCCCCCGGGCTGGGGCCAAGTAAACACAGTGGTAGGCAGCCTAGGATATTTATACTGAGGGCCGGGCGCAGGGCCAGTGCCCACCACAGCCCCTGCCCTGCCCACTGCCGCAGCCAGCCCCACGTCAGCGTGGCACCAGCCAGCAAGGGGACACACGCCGCAGACACAGCCTCCACTCAGCACTGAGGCCAGTGGGCGCCAGTGGCTCACGGTGCCAGAGGCAGGCGTCATGGGATGAGAAGGACCCAGCCCCCTCCCCGCTGTGCCTGCTAACCCCAGCAAGCAGGGCAGACCCACACCGCAGCCACACAGCCTGCCCTCAGGCAATGCCAGAGCGCCTCAACACCCCAACCATCGCCCACAGTCACCACCTGCTCATCCAGACCCACACACAGGACCCGGCCAGCCCCTGGGATGGACACACACAGGCACGCGGTTCACCAAGTTTACCCAGAAATGACTGGCCCAGACACACTCCGTGTAAGAAACGGAAACACCTGCACTTAAAGATGCACCAGTGTGCACCCAAGACGAGCTGTGGTGATGCAGAGGGCCAGCTGGGGCACAAAACATCCCAGACCCGAGGTGCCTATGTACACACAGCAGCCTGGCTGGGCCCACTGTGCCAGGCACACAGCCAGACACAGGAAGGGGACCAGCTGGCTGCAGGGAGGGTACACTGGCCTCCCAGTGCCTCAAACTTCCACGCAGAAGATGGCCACCCAGGGACATGGGGGAGGGGCTCCCTTGCCCTTCCCCCAGTCCCCCCTCCAGCTGACCCCTCAAAGTGGGAGGGGCAGGAAGGCCTGAGCTAGCCTCCCCCAGCCGCTTCCTGCCCCATGGGGGCAGGACGGGAAGCTGGGGCTCCAGCCGGAAGCCAGGCTCCCCACCTCCCATGACTTCCCCAGCAGCCGGCAGAGGCGGGGCTGGTGAGAGAGCAGGGCGCCCCGCACCCCAGGCCCTGTCCCTGCGGTGGGCAGGGGACAGACTTGTCCAGACGGGGCTGGGCCACCCAGCAGGCCAGGGTGGCAGGGCAAGGGCCGCTTGCACACGCGGCAGGGGAAGGTGCTGAGCCCACGGTTTCGCAGGCCGCAGGCCGCAGGCCGCCAGCTCTGGCAGAGCAGGGCAGGTGGGCGGGGCTGTCACGGGGCCTGCAGGGCTGGGCCCCGGGGGTGTGTCTGCATGTGTGGGAGCTGCTTCGTCTGGGCCCCTGGGTGTGACAGTGTCTGGTTGTGACGGGGTCGCCGCAGTCTGCGGGGCCACATGGGACTCCCCAGGCCAGGTCTGAGTGTGGCAAAGCGTGAGGTCAGACAGTGGGCATGGCCCGCTGGCCCTCTGTGTGATGCCAGGGTCAGACCTCCGAGCGTGGCGTGGGTGGGGCTGTGACAGGGTCAAACCATGACCGTGACCCCGTGGAGGATGTTTGTGTAACCGTTGGTGGGCCGGTTTCCTGCCGGGGCTCTGATGCGTGTTTGTGTGCCACAGTGTCTGTCTGGTGCAGTGGTTGGGAGTGTGACCGGATGGGGCCTTTTTAGTGACTCTTGAGCTCCTTCCGTGTTGAAGGGCCCTTCTGGGGAAACTCCAAAGCTACACGTGTGTGCTGTCACTGCGGCCAGGTGTCCCAGGCCATGTGTCTGCGTGTCTGTAATGTGTGTGTGGCTGTAGGACTGTGTGTATGGGGGGGATGTGTGGTTGTGGGTGACTGTCCGCCCTGTGTGTGTCTGCCTTACTGCCTTGCCTGCTGTCGCTGCTGTGTCTGCCTGTGTGGCCTCAGGGGTGTCCCCACACATGAAGCTGGGGCAGGAGGAGCCCCATTCCAAGCCCAGGACCACACCCAGCCCCCAGTGAGCTGGATGGCAGAGGACCCTGAGCACGTGGCTTGGCGGAGCAGCCAGGCAGGGGCCCCTGGGCCTGAGAACGCAGAGGAGAGAGGGGGAAGTTGCCTGGGAAGGGGAAGTGGGAACCAGTTCAGCAAGGCCACGGCAGGCAGCCTGGCCGTGGTGCTCTGCGTGCTGCCTGCCACACCCCCGTGTCCAGGCCCAGCGGCTGCCCTTCCCGCTTAGCTTCCCACCAATGCACCTGGCAGGACAGCTGAAGATGGGCCCAGTGGCCGGGCTCCTGCCCCCATGTAGGAGACCCAGATGGTGGTATTCCTGGCTTTTGGCTTCAGTCTGGTCCAGCCTTGGCTGTTACAGCCATTTGGGAAATGAACCAGCAGACAGAAAATCTCCTCCCCTCTCTCTGACTATGGAGTAAATCTTATGACGACCACCCCTTCCAAGGAAAACAACAGCAGAGGGAAAAGTTCCTGGCCTAGGAGGCCCTACCTCCCCAAGTCCCGCAAACCCTTCAGCGGTCCCCTGGGGTGGGAGCTGACAGAACTGTGACCTGCACAGACTCGGGGCGCAGCCACTGGTGGGGCGCACGTGAGGGAGCCTGCCACGCTCCTTTTACAAAACTAGGCCGATCTGGCCTGGCCCTGCTCTGCCGTTCTCTGGGGAGCCGCACCTGGCACGTGACCTTGCCACCATCTCTGGCCTGTGAGCCTGTGCCCTGACTCAGTTCTCAGCACCCTCGCCCGGCTCGCCCTCCTCCACCCACAGGACGCACAGGGTGCCCCAACTTGGCCATCGCTTCTGGGTCTTGTCCTCTTACTCAGAACCCCACCCCAAGGCTGCTGTCAGCTTCCTGCAGGTCTGCAATGCCTCCCCTCATACCACTCTGCTCTTATGTTCACCTACCAGAAAAGAGGTAAGACCTGCTCCCTTTAGCCTCCTGGGCATCAGTTTCATAATCTTTAAAATGGATATTGAGGCTGGCATTAAGTGGTGTAGTGACTTGAGCCACACCACCTGTTAATGCTGGCATCCCACAGGAAGCATGGACTCAAACCCCAGCTCCTCCACTTCTGATCATGCTCCCTGCTAACGCGCCTGGCAGAAACCCCAGAGCCTGGGACCCTCACACTAGCGTGGGAAACCTGGACAGACTTCCTGGCTGCAAGGAATGAACCTAACCCTGCACACGCCCCGCCGTTGTGTCACTCCGCCTTTCACATTTTAAATATAATGAAATGGGTATTATCAGAGTCCCTTCATCTCAGACTGTCACTAGACATTAAAATCATTCACTCCCCGAAGATACTGAGAACAATGCCAGAGGTGCAGTAAGCAGATCCTGCTGCCTACTGGGGCTGCTGGGGACAGAAGGTGCTATAAATAAGTGATGTGGTCACAGGAGACGGAGCGCTGTGGGAGGAACCTCAGGGAGGCGCCTAAAGACACGGAGACCCCCGTCTCGCTCACCTTTAATGGCCCGCAGGTGGGCTGGGGCACAGCAGTCCTTAAATACAGCCCCTCGGGGCGCGGCGGGCGGAGGGGCGGAGCCGGGCCTGCCGGGGCGGGGCGTGGGGCGGGGCCTCAGCTGCATTTGCAGGAGCGCACGATCATGTTGGACAGCTGTTCCACTTTGGGCTTGCGGCCCACGTAGTACACGATGGGCAGCGGCTCCAGCGCCTGCGGCACGCAGCACGGCGCCGCCGAAGCGCCGGGGTTGTGCTGGTTGTACAGGGCCAGGACCTGTGGGTGGCCGGGCGGCGCAGGGTCAGACTGAAGCTTGAGAATGCTGTGGAGGGGGGTTCCTCCACAGCCTGCCCCCTTCCTGCGCTTCCACGCAGCCAGCCTCTCTCCCCATCTTTCCATGCCTTCCCTCCTCCCCAGCCCTCCCTGCCTCTCCCCCTCCACCAGTCCCTCTGTTACACCAGCTGTCCAGGTGTCTCCCCTGGTCTCTGCCTGCTGACCACCCAAAGCCCTCCCTCATCCATCGCCAGCTCTCCCCTCCTCCAACTCTTTCTGATATCACCTTTCTCTCTCCTCTCCCTGGGACCCCAGCTCCCCAGCCCAGTGGGCCACTCCTACCTTGCTGTACTGGGTATCCAGACTCCAGATGTAGGGGCAGGGTCCCAGGCAGAAGTTGGCATGGTAGCCCTTGGGTTCGTGGATCCATTTCCAGCCCAGGTCCTTGCGGAAGTCGATGTATAGTTGCCGCACGCAGCAGTTCTTCTCTGTGGAGCTGTGGGGCAGGTGCATGCATCAGGCTGCTGCGGTTGGGGGACCTCCCCCCTAACCAGGTATGTGTGGCCTGAGCAGTGCCCCCACTTTCTTTTCCCTTGCATGCCCTGTGATAACAGCAGCAACAACAGTGGCAGTACCACACTGCGGAGGACTCCCTGGAGTCCACAAGCACTGTGCCAAGAGCGTGGTAATAAACACGTGTTGTCCCCCGCTGTTCCAGATGGGCCATCCACAGTGTGGCCACACTCCCCCTTGGACAGCAAGTGCTGGCTGGGCTCTGCGGGGAATGGAGGACCCCTCCCTGGCCCCTGCCCCCACCAAGACCACACAGAAACTCTCACTTTCTTCTCTCCCTGTGGATGGACTCCGCGGATGGAAGCTAGAAACTTCTCGCTCCTTTTCCCTTTCACTTTCTGGCTCACTCTCCCTGAATATGACCTAGGTGTCTGCCTGCCTCAACTTCTAAATAAACCTCAATACTTTCTCCAGAGCCTCAAGCAGCTGCATGTCTCTGCTCCATCACGGTCCTGTGCCAGGGCCTGTGTACCTCCTTCCTGAGGGGTACCTAACCCCACAGGGAGCAGGTGTTCTGTGTCAGTGACACGGATGAACAGGGTCTCCCAAGGCCTGTGGGGCCCTCCCCATCTGAACAGACGCTCCAGTGGTCAACAGTTCCTTCAAGCACCGAGACACGAGAAAACGGGTGGGCACCATCTTGGCAGCTGTGCGAGGAGGGAAGAGTTCCTGAAAGCCCACCACATGGGCGCTGCCCCCGTGATGTAAACTCCACTGTTCTGGACCCAAGATCTCTGTGTAGGCTTCACAGAGAGCCAGGTCTCCCTGAGCAGAGCCATGCTGAGTGCAGGATGGGCGTTTAGTTTAGGCAGCCAGGGCTGAGAGGAGGTGCAAGAGACACCAAATTAAAGGGAATTCAAGGCCCACGTCCTGATGTCTTTGTACCCACATGGGAGACCTGGAAGAAGCTGCTGGCTCCTGGCTTCACATCAGCTCAGCTCCAGCCATTGTGGCCATTTGGGGAGTGAACCAGCAGATGGAAGATTTTTGTCTCTGTGTGTTTCCTTCCCTGTAAAATTGGCCTTTCAAATAAAAATAATTGGAAAAGGTGGGGAGGGGGCGGCACAATAGTCTAGCGGCTAAAGTCCTTGCTTTGCAGCCACCGGGATCCCATATGGGCACCGATTCATATCCTGGCTGCTCCACTTCCCATCCAGCTCCCTGCCTGTGGCCTGGGAAAGCAGCTGCGGACAGCCCAAAGCCTGGGACTCCGCACCTGTGTGGGAGACCCGGAAGAAGCCCCTGGTTTCTGACTTCAGATTGGTGCAGCTCCAACTGTTGTGGCCACTTGGGGAGTAAACCAGCAGATGGAAGATATTTCTATGTATCTCCTTCTCTTTGTATATAAGCCTTTCCAATAAAAATGAATAAATAAATCTTTAAAAAGGGGGTGGAGGGACTCAGAGGAAGCCAAGACTCCTTCATGCTACATGTTTGTAACATGTGAAGGAAACCCCATGCCAAGGGGCAGCCCAGGGCACTCCAATCAGCTGTGTGCGGGACTAGCAGGAGTCTGTGAGGATGTCAGCAGTGGTGAGCACTGAAGTATAGTGGGTTAAGCCCCGCCTTGAGACAACCACATTCCACATCATCGTGCCTGGGTTCAAGTCCCGGATACTCCACTTCCCATCCAGCGTCCTGCTAATGCGCCAGGGAGGCAGCAGGGAGGAGCTCACGGGCTCGAACCCCTGTCATCCCATGGGAGACCTGAACTGTTTTAGCCCCAGCCCCACCCAAGCTATGGTGGGCACTGAAGGAGAGAACCAGCAGCCAGCTCTCACTGTCTGACTTGCAACCAAAGCAACTTTATTCTAAGATGGCGTCAGTGGTGTTTTCCGTGTGGCAGTATAATAGCCGACCTCTGCATTTCCAGTTCTCGGTAGTAGGTACGCATGGTTTTGAGAATCAGAACAAATTAACAACAAGAACAACAAAAGGCTAACATTCTGGCAAAGTGAGAAACTCACATGGACAGGCTTGAGGATTCTATGGACTCTGAGAGGACACCCAACTCGGACCCAAGTGGCTGTCTCTTCCGGGGGCCAAGGGCAGTACCGAGGGTCACTGAGTGTCCTCTCGGGCTCTGGTTCACACGCATGGAACGGGGTATACGGCATCCGCGGCATCAACCAGCCACAGAGCAAGAACATGCCAGAGGCGGGCAACAGGCACAGCGGTAAAGATGCTGCTGAGAACGCCCGCGGCCCATACTGGTACGCTGGGATTCCGGCTTCCTGCAGCCAGGTGATGGCAAAAGTCGTTGGGCCCCTATTACCCACATGGGGGAGATTTAAAGAGCTCCAAGCTCCAGGCCTCATCCTGGCTCACCAGATGGTTGCAGCCATTTGCGGAGAACCAAACGATGGAAGATGGCTGTCTTTCTGTCCCTCTCTACCTCAGCTTTCCAAATATACCTATATTTGAAACTATATATAATATGCATGTTATTATATATTGACATATATAATTCATTGAATATATAATTGATTTACTTGTTTGAAACTCGGAGTGACAGAGAAGGAGGGAAAGATAAGGATCTTTCAGCTACTGGTTCACCCCCCAAATGGCCTCAATAGCCAATGCAGAACCAGGCTGAAGCCACCAAGCAGGAGCTTCTTCTGATGCAGAGGCCCAAGCACATAGGACATCGGCTGGATCAGAAGTGGGGCAGCCTGGATTACAAAGTAAACCTTCAAACAACAAAAAGAAACAGATCTTACTTGGGGGGGAAAAAAAAAAAGGAAGCATCCTAGCCCTCTGTGAGATCCTGTGGGCCAGGCAGCAGAAGGAACCAGGCCAGAGAGAGGGCACCTGACGTGGGCACCTGTGCTGCACGTGGCCTGACCTGGAAAGTGGGCCCTGTGTGCCCAGTGGAGTGACTCAGGCAAGAGGCCCTGACACAGACACTCCTGGGGTGACACGCAGCCTTTCCACAGCCACAGGCCAGAGGAGGGGGCAGGAGCTCGGGCTGTGCGGCCTCAGTGGCTCCTTCTGCTCCTGAGCTGGAGCCGCCTGAGAGGCAGAGGCCTCAGGAAGGCCAGCACAGGGGAGGGCGTGGGCTGCTGGGGAGAAGGTTCTGTCCTTGGCCCTCCAGTGAGGGGCACTTGCCCTGAGCAGACACAGCTCTCCTGTCCAGGGCCCAGGGGTCCTGCAAATGTGCACCCAGGGGACTCTGTGGTGGTTCTCCATGGGGCTTCCAGCTCCAGCAGAAGCAGCCACAGCGCCTGAGCAGGAAACATCTGGAGGTAGGGTGGGGTGGGGTGGAGACGTGCTGGACAGCGCCCACGGGAAACACACCCTCCAGGGGACCCAGATGTGTGCCTAGAGGGTCCCTGTAGGACCTGAGGCAGTCTGGGTCTGTGGTCTCTCGGGGTCCTGACTGACTGAGCCCTCCCCTTCTCAGGCAGGTCCTGTCCCTCAGTCTGTCAGGCCAGGGACACCCAGAGGCCTCCCAGGTTCCTCAGGGGTTCCTTCCCCACCAAGCACCCTGAGCTGTGTGCACATGGAGACATCTCATGACACAGGCTCACACAGGCACAGAAGCCATGGCAGCTGCAGTGGGAAGCGCCCGAGGTGTTCTGAGGTGGGAATATTCCCTCAGACTGCTCCAGCTGAGCCTGCCCAATGCAACACCTGAAATCCCAGACTCTGGAGCCTCCAGACAGGGACAGGGACAGGGACGCTCAGCTGTGAAGGCGCCTGGCCCAGGCCTTCCTTCCGACATGGATGATGGATCTGAAGCAGCCAGAGCTCCTTTGTGGTACCATGTGGGAGAGTTCACACCTCTCCAGCTGCCTCACCTGCATCTCCCTAAGTTCCATAAACATCCAAATCAGGTCTGCACTGAAATGGGGAGTGTTTCTCTTCAAATCCTCCTAGAAATTTCCAGAACTGCCACTTCCCTTCATATATAATATCTATTTTTATGTAATATTTTTATATATCTGTGAGATCCTGAGGGCTATAATGTATTATATGCATCTAAATACTTACACTTGTATAGTTATACTTACATGTTCATATATATTACAAGTCATATAAATTTATATATTATCTACATTAAAAGATTTATATTTTTACCTAACGTAAATATTTACACAATATTTCTGAAGTGTAGTTACACATTAATGGTTACATAACATATCAATATTTACATCTATAAATGTTGTTTTAAAGATTTATTCATTTTACTTGAAAGTAAAGAGTTGCAGAGAACAGAAAGGGAAAGACAGATCTTTCACTGCCTGCTTCACTCTCCAGATGGCTCCAACAGACAGCTGGGCTGGTCTAAAGCTGGGAGCCAGGAGCTTTCTCCTACACAGGGGCAAAGACCCAATATTTGGGTAACCCTCTGCTGCTTTGCCAGGCCCCCAGCAGGAGTTGGATCAGAAATGAAGCACCCAGGACTAGAACCTGCACCCAGATGGGATGTTGACCCTGCAAGTCAGACGACTAGCTTGCATAGGCACCCACCATCTATATTTACATACAGTTAATAAATCCATCTCAAGTATAGTTAACATAAACATTTATACTTACAATAAATAATATATAGTAGTCATGAACGGAACATGTAAATATTATATGTACTGCATATAATGAATGTTCATTATGTAATTATGTAAATATATCTATATAATTCTAATACATATGACAGCATATCTAAGTTTTATCTGCATCAAAGATTTGGTTTTTTTTTGAGAGATACATTTATTTCTTTAAAGATTTGTTTTCTATAGAAGGCAGAGTTAGAGATAGACACAAACAGACAAGGAAGGAGGCAGACACTTTTAACTGCTGTATCGCTGCCCAAAAGGGGGGCCAGGCCATGGCTGCGCCTTACCTGCAGCTCTCCCACGTGTGTGCAGGGGGCCTAGCATGCGGGTCATCCTCTACTGCTTTCCCAGGAGCACTCAGAGGGAGATGGATGGGAAGTGGAGCAGCCAGGACTCAAACAGGCATCCATATGGGATGGCAGCATTGCAAGCCAGAGCTTTACCTACACTCCAAAATGCTGACCCAAGAATATCTGTTTATATGCAATTATTTAGGGAGCAAATTAATTTTTAAGAATTTTTTTCAAAACACTTGGAAAATGCCTATTGTAAAAATAACTGCATAAATTTCAGAAATCTGGGGCCCAGCATGGTGCCTAGCAGCTAAAGTCCTCGCCTTGAACGTGCCAGGATCCCATATGGGCACCGGTTCTAATCCTGGCAGCTCCACTTCCCATCCAGCTCCCTGCTTGTGGCCTGGGAAAGCAGTTGAGGACGGCCCAAAGCCTTGGGACCCTGCACCCACATGGTAGACCTGGAGGAATTCCTGGCTCCTGGCTTCGGATCAGTATAACACCAGCTGTTACACTCACTTGGGGAGTGAATCATTGGACAGAAGATCTTCCTCTTTGTCTCTCCTCCTCTCTGTATATCTGATTTTGTAATAAAAATAAATAAATCTTTAAAAAAATAAATTTCAGAAATCTATGTGTGCAGGTATTTCTTGGCTGCAGCCTCCCAGGGTCTGGAGTTTGCAGGCTGCCTCCCTGTTGTCTTCCCCCATGATTTGGAAGAGAGCGAGGTGCATCCATCGCCAGGATGACATTTAAGCCTGACTCTTGCCAACGACCTCACTGCTGAGCCCTGGCCTGCCTCGATGAGGGGAGGGCCCTCAGCCCCTCAGCCCCTCCCTCCCTGGGGGTGCAGGCACAGGGAGTAAGATGTGGTGGTGAGAGAGCCATGGGGAAGGGACCAATCCCCAGCCCAGGAGCGCCCTGAGAGAAAGGCCAGGGCACCAGTGCAGCACACTCAGCAGGGAAGGGGTGGGGTCACAGGGCCCTGTCAACACCCCACATTCTCACTAAATCCCAGCGCTCTGAGCCTTGCTTTCAGCTTGCTGAGCCCACAGCTCTCAGGCATCCCAGGACACTGCTATCCTGGCCATCCTTCGCACTTGCCAGCCATCCAGGTGCCTGGCTGCCCTGAGCTCCTATGATCCAACCCTCCACCCCAGCCCTGCCCACTGGCGGCAGCACATACATAGCCCCACCTAGCTGCTAACAGCACACCCGCACCCCAGCATGGAACCCCACATCTTCTGCCCCCAGCTGTGTCGGGGTGAGAGGGGGGGTAGGTTTTGTGGGTGGGAGGGAAGATGTCACCATTTCAGCCCAGGGTCTCACCATTCAGAGTCTAGTGTCCCAGGAGGCCAGGGGGCCAACCCTGGATTATCTGATCTGCTAATGGAGTAAGAACGCAAAACACACCATCTTCTAATTCCAGGTTCCCCACACTGCAGCTTCCTCCCCACAATGGCCTCACCTGCCAGTCACAGACCCTGATTCCTGAGATCTGGAATCCCGGCGTTCAGAACGCCCCCTCCGTGCTGACAGAAAGTGGACTCTAACAAGGCCACCTTGCAATGCAGAGTTTAGCTTCCCCGGCCCGCATCTGGACACTGCCCAACTCCCACTCTGCAGCAGGCAAGCCCCTGTGCCCACGGCAGGCCTCCCAGGTCCCACACACTCAAGGCTACAGAGAAAAGCCACGGCCACGGGACCCGCCTTCACCTGAAGCAATAGTTGGTGTCTAGGGCTCGCCGACTCCGGGAGCTGTGCAGGTGCTGGGCCCGCTCCAGCGGGGTGGCCATCAGGAGCAGGAAGGGCCGGTTCATGTTGTGAATGGTGGCCAGGTCACCTCGTCGGCCCGAACTGATCCCTGCATTGGTTTGTGACTCTCAGGGGGACGGGTCAGCAGCAAGGACAGGGTTAGGAGGAGGGGGCACGCTCGTGCACGTGTATGCTCACAGGTCATAGCAGGCCAGGGGCTGGGCCGGGACTGTGTGCTCACCGTTGATGTCCACATGGAGGACGTTATCTTTGTTGTCACAGGAGCAGTGGGCGCTGAGGCGGAAACCCTGGATATCCCCTGTGGGAGTGAGGAGAGGGACACCAGTGTGAGTGTGAGTGTGAGTGTGAGTGTGTGAGGCTCAGCAGGCCCCTGGAGGAAGAGGAGGGAAGGAGCACACTCCAGGGGGGCTCCTCCTGCCTGGGACACCCCTCACCACCACACACACTCCAGCTCTCTGCCATGCCATGCCAGCAACTTCCCCTTCAGGTCTCAGCTCCCATGTCACCTCCTCACAGGGGCCCTCCAGGGTGCACACCCCTTCCTGGCCGTGACATCACTGCTTTCTCTGACATGGGTGTTTGGCTGTTTATTTCTGTCAGTCTTTCAAAGCAGGATGCACCTGGGTAGAGATCATGAACTTTCTCATTCCTCCCTGGGCCAGGCCCACAGAAAAAGACAGTACCCGTGGGCTGCTGTTGCGGTTCACGTGTTAACCAGCTGCCTTGGACGTATCCCAGGAGAGCAGCAGTTCAAAACTCCACTGATCTAAGTCAGTTCACAGCCAACAGCTGGGAAAGCAGCGGCAGACAGCCCACGCGCCCGGACCCCTGAAAGAGTCTGGGTGCCTTCGCTGGGAACGCACAGCAATTAGCGCTCCTCCCACCAGGACCCAAATCTCTCAACTACCCTTCCCTGTTCACAGCCCCTGTGGTTGCAGCTGTCTATCCTGGCTGTGGCAAGACCTTCTAAGGTCCAGAAATTGGGCTCCATGGGGCAGGACCCAGGGCTACCCTGCTCAGCACTGTATACTGCTCACCCATGCCACCCAACACAGCTGAGGCAAGGCTGTGTGTGTGGATCCCAGAGGTGAATACATCAGCAGGGTGAGGAATGAGGACTGGGGACACGGCTGGGCAGAGGAGTGACACAATCCTTTCCCGGACAGATCCAGAGTGCCAGCTCTCCCTGGGCTCAGGCCTTTGCACAGCTGCTCCCTTACCCACAATGCTCTGGGCCCTCCTTCTTCCCGTCCTTCCTGCTTTTACTCATCACTCAAAGCTCAACTGAGAGGTGCCCTCCTCCAGGAAGTCCTCCCTGACTCCAGGCTGGATCAAGCACTTGCTTGGGTTTCTCTTTCCAGCCCTGCCTGCCCACCCTGAGTCATCACTGCATGGACACAGCAGTGCTCCCCTCCCTTCCTGCACACCCCATGGACCATGAGCACTGTGTCCAGGCAAGGACTGGGCTGTGTCTGTCATGCTGTGTCTGTCCTCTCATCCCCCCCCCCCCAGGGCAGGTGCTCTGGTAATGGAGTCACCACTGACAGATCCATCACTCATCCCCAGCTCTGAGTGTCTGATACCAGCATGCTCAGGGTGGGATGCAGGGGGACTCAGGAGAAGCAGGGGTGAAGCAGACCATGATCCTCACCTCCTTGGCTCAGCCACTGCCTCACAACTCCCGTGACATCAAAGGAAAGCCACTCAGCTGTGTTGCTGGGAGCCAACAGCCGATTGCTGAGGTAGCGCCAGGAATCATTGCTGTATCGCTGAAGGACAAAGAATTTTATCAGAGAGATGATGGGAGCAGGCTCCAGCACCCTCTTCCACACACACACACACACACACACACACACACACACACACACACGAACCAGGACCATGCCACCCTACCTGCTCTCAGGCCAGCCTCCAGCCCCTGCCAACCCCATACCAATATTGGACTCAGTAGCTCCACCCTCCCACAGTGTCCCCGGAGAGAAGAGTCCTGGGCTCCATTGGGCTGCTCGGCCTGTCCTGACTCCCTGAGGTGTGGGGTGTTCTAATCCTCTGAGGCCACAGGCACCACTGCCAGCCTAAGCCCCTCCCACCAGCACAGCCCCCTAGCCCAGGCACCTGGGGCCAGCATTATGGGTCTGCAGGGACACAGCAGGCAGATCTGACAGCCTGTACCTGAGAGCTCACTGCTGTGTCAGACCTCATTCTGTGACCTCAGTGCTAGATAAGGACCAGGAAGGACACACACAGGAGCCTGAGGAGTTCTAGATCAATCCTGTATGACTCCAGGAACACGGGGCCGGTGTGGTGGAATGAGAGCCGGCTAAGGTACTTGTGCCCCAATGCACAGTACTTGGGTTGGATACCTAGCCTTCGGTAATTACTCCAGCTTCCTACTAGGGCTGCCCCGGTGAGGCAGAAGGGCTGTCTCAAGCAGCTGGGTCCCAGTCAGCTCCATGGGAGACCTGGCCTGAGCTCCCAGCTCCCTGCCTGGGCCTGGCTCACCCTGGGCATTGTTGGCGTTTGGGGAGTGCAGCATACCTACCCCATCTCTCAAAGAAAAAAACCAGCCAGGGAAACTCCTGGGCTAAAGTTGTGGTGCAGTGGGTTAAGCTGTGGCCTGTGACTCAGGCATCCCAACTGGGCACAGGATAAAGTCCCAGCTGCTCTACTGGTGCTCCAGCTCCCTGCTATTGCCCCTGGGAAAGCGGCAAAAGATGGCCTAAATGCCTGGGCTCCTGGAGTGTAACAGAGAATTCTGATGCAGTTCCAGCTTCCTGGCTCTGGCCTGGCCCAGTCCTTGTCTCTGTGGCCATTTGGAGAGAGGACCAGTCGGCGGAAGATCTCTATGTGTATTTTTATTTCTATCTCTACTCCTGTCTTTCTTTCCGTAAGTCTTATGAAAAAAAAAAAAAACAACTAAGTGAAATCATCATTGTAATAAATTGCCTCAAGAATATGAATTACAGAATAGCAGCACTTACACACATGGCTTTGGAGTCCTGAAAGCATTTTCTGCTCATTCATTTATATTTTAAGCAAGGTGCATGTGGCCAGTGGGTCCCCTAGTGTGCAGATGGGTTCTGGAGCCTCCAGCCTTCCCCTTGATTTCACGTTTGAGACTCCTGTCATCTTTAAGGGTCCAACTCCTACACCCCAACCTTGTGAGCATCGAGGCATGCTGTCACGAGTCTGAGTTCTGAAGTGCCCAGGAGTCCCTGCTCTGAGCTCCTGCACCCTCTGCAGGGCAGCACCCTCTCCCCACCCTGGTCTCAGCCCGGGCTCCCGCATCACCTGGTACAGCTCCACGTGCTGCTCTTGCTGCTGCTTGAGCCTCTGCAGGCGCAGCTCTGCCCGGGACAGCAACCAGGGCTCGGGCACGGCTTCCCGGAGCTCTGTGCTGTTGAAGAACATGTACACACTGTGCCGGCTCTCTTTGTAATCTTTATAGACTTCTGGGAGGAGATGAGAGAGACGCGTCAGGGACTGGCAGAAGTGGAAGCAGTAGGGCACCCCTGGCTAAGAGCGGAGCCCGAGTTTCGGAGCTGGCCTGTCAGACTTAGCTGAAAGTCCTTGGGGGGCAGTAGTGGCCCCTTTGGGATGGCCCCTGCCCTGCAGAATGAGCTCTAACACCCTGTCTGCCCAAAGCCCCCTCTCCACCTGTCCAGGAGAAGGGGTGCTGGGTGACTCACTTCTCCCAGGGCTTCAGCCCCAAAGGAGCATCCCAGTGCACGAGGAAGGGTCCGGGGACAGACTGGGATCCAGAAGTGTGTCTGCCCTCTCTGACCTGGGCCCCACCCTCCTCAGGTCCTGGCACTGTCTGGGTGGGGACATCAGCATCACTTCTGTGCCTCCCCCTCCTGACGGAATATCTGAATGTGAGACTCCCTCGGGGTCCCAATCCTCATCTGTAAGAGGGAACAGCTCCAGGATCGCAGAGGGAACAGGGGACACGGAGCAGAGAACACATGGGCACACGGGGCACAGCCCTCAGTGATGGGACAGCATGGGAACACGGGGCACAGCCCTCAGTGATGGGCACACGGGGCACAGCCCTCAGTGATGGGACAGCATGGGCACATGGGGCACAAGCTGCCCAACAGTGATGGGCACATGGGCACATGGGGCACAGCCCTCAGTGATGGGCACAGCATGGGCACTGCATGGTCACAGCCTGCCCAACAGTGATGGGCACAGCACGGGCACATGGAACATAGCCTGCCCTCAGTGACAGGGACAGCGGGGCACAGCCTGCCCCTCTGTGATGGGCACAGCATGGGCACATGTGGCTCAACCTGCCCCTCAGTGACGGGCATGTGGGGCACAGCCTATCACTCCATCATGTGCATGGTATAAAGCGCTATTTACCACACACTGCTCAGGGCACTTTACACAGAGGAAGACGCCTCAACCTCACAGCAATCTCCTGAGGAAGAAGCCCCATTACGTCCATTTAACACATGGGGAAACTGAGGCCCAAGGACATCCATGAGCCCCAAAGCCACCTGGCTAGGAGAGAGTGGAGTTCCAGCTGAGCCAGCCTTGTGCCAGAGCCTGCAGCGCCAGCAGCCCTCAGCTGTGCTGCCTCCCTGCTAGGTGAGGATGTGGGTGGCGCTGCGGTCACCAACTGCTCCCTCCTCACCCTCCACAAATGCTGAGGGAAACTAGCACGAAGGCTCAGGGACAGGGGCCTGGGAGGAGAGCTTATGGGGGCCACTGCCTGGGGGTCCTGGAGTGAGGCTTTGTGAACCAGAGGCCACCTCTCCCCGTGGGGCTCCCCTGACTCCCTTCCTTCCTCCAGGAAAAGGGCAGAGTCCAGGCTGGGGGCTAGGGCCAGGAAGTGAGGAAGGAGGGACAGAGGAGGGGCTGCAAGGCCTGAGAGGCTGGAGGGTGCCGACAGAGAGGCCCTCATCCTAACAGGAAAACCAGTGGGGACCGGGTGAGATGCAACACGGCGTCAGGCACAGAGCCACATGTCTTTGTGGGGGAAGTGCAAGTGGCTCAGGGGAGAGGCTCAGAGCGACAGGAACAGCTACCACAGGCCAAGGTGAAGGCGGAAGGAAGGCCAGACAGAGAGGTGGGGAGGGGGCACGCTGAGGTAGGGATGAGTCATGGACCCACATGTCCACCGCCCTGGGTTAGAAAGTGAAATTTGGGTGGGTGGTGGCGGCGGCCCTACAGCCCTTGAGGACTTCGCCAGATCCTGGGATCCCGCGTGGGCATTGACGGGGTGGGGCTGGCAGGTGCCCCACCCACAACTGGGGTGAGCTGGGCGGGAGGCGACGCAGCCGCGAGGGCGGGGACCGGACCTGCCTCGTCTCGCCCCGGGCTCCGTGCGCGATCCCCGCCCCCCTCGGGGCACGGGAAGGAAAGGGAGGGGAGAAGGCGAGGCGGCCGGACGCTGGGGCTTCCCCGGTGCGCGCGGGAGGAACTGCGGCTTGGGGTCCGCTCTGCGGGCGTCCAGCTCCGCGGGGTACCCCTTCCCCCTCGGGGAGGTGCGCGCTCCTCCTCCCGCGCGTGGCAGCCACGTGGGGCGGCCTCACCCCTACCTGAGCCTCCTGCACCGTCCACCCCTCCTGCACCGTCCACCCCGCCTGGCCCTCCCCCACCGCTGGCCTCCTGGCCGGCCCCTCCCGTCGCGCGGCTCAGCCCCAAGGGCTCCGCGACCTCTCCTCCAATCACAAGTTTCCCACGCGGGTCCTTCCCAGCTCCAAAGTTTTTAAGTTTTCTTGGGACTCCCTGCTCTGTGCCTTCGGGTCCAGGTGTGAAACACAACCACCCCCGCCGCCCCACGACCGTCAAACGCGTCCTTCGCACCCCGTCTGGGTCTCCGCACCCCTCCCGCCGGCCTCGCCGCCCCTGGTTCGCCATTCGGAGGCACTGACCACTGTCTCCATCCCCGCGGCCCCTTGCCATCCCGCAGGTTCCACGCGCCCTAGAGGTGGCTCCACTCCCCCTGGCACTTTGCTGAGGTCCCTCACCCAGGTCTGCTCCTTCACTCTTCCCGTTTTGTAACCCCCGAACTCCGGGTCGGCTTTCTCCGCTGGTTCCCAAAGCTTAAAGACTCCGCCCGTTCCCACAGAGCGGCCCTTTCTGCAGCTCCCTCCAGGTGGACCTCGCGTTCCACCCGTGGCCTTTCCCCAGCAACCTCCCCCCATGTCCACCTGGCTCACTGTCCCAGACCACATCCCTAAGGGTCAGCGCTCCCACTCTTCAGGACACCCAAATCCCCCCACCCCAACCCAGGTCCCTCGCCTTCCGTTCGCTCCCCGGGATCCCCTTCTGCTACTGGTAATTTCCTCCCCGTGACCCCGGCACCGCAGCGTCCCCTCCCGGGTCCCCATCCCTGGGAACTCACTGTTGCTGGGATCCACCATTAGCACGCGGGTGACCTCTTTGGCGTAATAGTCGGCTTCGGGCTCGGGCTCGGGCTCGGCGCTCTCCCCGGCCACCCGGTCCCGGGTGCTGTTGTACAGGGCGAGCACGGCCTCGGGCAGCGGACCGGGCGGCACGTCCCCCTGGCTCGGGGGGCTGGCTAGCCGCAGCTTGGACAGGATCTGGCCGCGGATGGCTTCGATGCGTTTCCGCTTCACCAACTCCATGTCGATGGTCTTACAGGTGGACAGTCCCTCGGCCGGCCTGCCGGGCGCCAACAGTAGGAGCCACAGCAGCGGCAGGACTAGCGGCAGCAGCAGCCGCAGCCCGGAGGGCGGCATGGGGGAGGTGGCGCACCCCGGCACTGCCGAGGGCGCCAACGGGGCTGGGGTGGGATGGGGAGGCCCCGCCCCGGTAGGGGGGCTGAGGGTCTCCCGGGGAAAAGGAGGAGGGTCTCGAGGGGAAGTTGAGTTTCTCAGAAAGAAAGAAGCAAGGTTTTAGGGGTGGCTCTGACCCGGGTTTGTCTTCCGAGTCCTACGGGAAAGAAAAAAAAAAATAAAAAAAACGGAACCCCGGTGGGCTCCGCTACCAGAAGGTGGGTGGTCTTGAATAGGGGAGCCAGTAGGGCAGGTCTGAGAGAGACCGACCCGTCGCCCGGGGAAGGTAAGGTTGTAGGTTGCGCCGGGGCCAGAGAAGGGACCAAGGGGAGGGCGCCGGGCAGGGGGAGCGTCCGAGGTCGAGGGGCAATGCCTTCGCGGGAGACGGGGTCTGTGGCTCCGGAAGGCTGGTCCGGAAGAGGGGGCGCTGGGGTCGCTTTGTAGGAAGGAGGGAGGGGAGCAAGCGTCCGAGGAGGAGAGGGGGAGGCGTCCTGGAGGAGGGGGTCCCCAAGTTCTGCCTCCTCCCGGGCCAGCGCCGCGCCAAGCGGTCCCCGCGCCTCCGGCTTCCAGCGGCAGCGGAAAAGTCTCAGAACTTTTTTCCTCTTCTCCAACCAGCTCGTCCCTCCTCCCGCTCCTCCTCCCCCTCCTCCCCGCAGCGGCGGCGGCGGCGGCGGGGGCGGCTCGTCTCAGACTCTGTGGCCTCGGGCTGCTCCTCGGCGGCTCCTTCCTGCGCTCAGCTCCCGGGGCGCAGGCCCTTAGCGGCGGGCGGCTCCGAGCCGGGGGGTGCCCCGGAGGGGGGCGTCCCCCCCTGCCCCGGACCGGGGCCTTGCTGTCCGGCGGATCCGCGGCGAGTGGAGGGAGGGGGCACGGTCCGGGGCGCGAAGGGCGGCGGCGGCGGCGGCGGGGACCGGCTAGGGCGGCGGGGGTTTTGAAGCCGCCCCGGCCCCACCCAGGAAGCGCGCGGGGCGGGGGCAGCCCCCAGGGGGAAGGGCAAGGGGGGTGGTGGTGGTGGTGGTGGTGGTGGTTGGGGTGGGGGGCCGGGCCACCGTCCTCATCTCGCGTGGGCGGGCTCCGAGGGGGGTCCCTTCTGCCCTGGGGGGTGGGGGGTGTGGGAGGCGGGCACCCCGGCTCCGCCCCACGCAGACGGGAACGGGGGTGCTGCCTCCTGGTGGCTGAGTGCTACCGCAGCGGTGCCCGGGACGCACGGTAGCTTTGGGGACCGTGTGTGTGTGTGTGTGTGTGTGTTGGGGAGGGGGATGAGCCTGGCAAGGGGTCTTCTCAGAACTGGAGGAGGGGCTAGGGCCGAGGGTGGGGAGCCCGAGGAGAGCGCGCAACAGGGGAGGACGTGGCAGAGGGCAGCGGACACAGGAAGGGCTCAGGAGGCACTGGCACCTGGGAGACGCGTCCACCTTTATTAAGGACCTCCACTCAACCCCCCCGGGGGGCCGGCGTACCTGCTACCCGCTTTTACAGACACAAGCTGAGAGGCGCGGGGAGTCCTAGCAAGGTCCCCAAGTGGCGCCATGCCTGCCTGGGCTGCGGCCAGGCGGCCTGACAGTCCCCAGGGCGCCCCTGGCCCTGACCACGGTGCCACCTGGCCCTCGCTGGGGGCGCAGGGCTGGGGATGCCGGCGGATGGCTCAGGGCTGGGGCTCCCTCAGCATTCAACACCGTAGCGGTCGAAGTGGCGCAGCAGCAGGCCGAGCTCCAGGTGCACCGTGCCACCCGCAGCCGTGTGCAGGCGGTAGCGGTCGGCCCCGCTGTAGATGGTGTCTCCGTGTAGCAGCTGCGGTCCACCTCCCACGAAGACCCGCGCCAGCTGCTCCCGCCAGCTGCCTAGGGGCCGCCACGTGGGGCATTCCAGCTGGTGGGTGCCTGGGCTGCTGGGCACGTGGCAAAAGCCATAGCCTGCGAGCTGGCAGCGGCCGAAGCTGTCCTGGGACCACACCTGGAGGTGCAGCCGAGGCCAACCTGTCGGAAAGAGGGGAGAGAGGGGTAAGGGAAGGATGCGTTGTGCCCAGTCTGGATGCCCACTGGAGGGTCTCGGCCAGGAACTCCATCAGCAGGAACAGCCTACATCTGTTATCTTCCTCAAACTGTCACACCTTTCAGCTCCCATCTAGGATGGCTCCCCTCCATGTGGCTGCCTCCCATGCACCCCGAGGCTGGGCAGTCCCCACCTGGGGCCCCATCCTGGACCCACCAGCTGCTTTCCCTCCCCAGGTTCCGCACATCCTCACTGGGTTCAGAGCTGCCCCCCACCCCACTTTTTTTTTTTAAAGGAGTTATTTATTTATTGGTTGGAAAGGCAAAGTAACAGAGGGAAAGAGAGAGAAATTCCTTATCTGCTGGTTCACTTGCCAGATGGCCCCAGTGGCCAGGGCTGTGTCTCGTGTGTGGGCAGCAGGAGCCCCAAGCACTTGGGCTGCCAGCCACTGTCTCCCAGACACATTAGCAAGCAGCTGAAAAGTACAGGGTAGCCGGCACATGAATCAGGCGCTCCAGCACGGGGTGTGGGTGTCCCGAGGCCCGCCTCTGACAGTCTCCCTCCTTGTCCACCATCCACCTGTCAGCTGCCAACACTTGCCTCCCCACGGGTTGCCCACTTGCTCTAAAGGCCACTTGCCGTCTCAGCCTGAGAGAGCCCTTTGGGACTCAGCCTCAGCACCCCCCCACACACACACCCCATTTCTGCCCTCCTGAGCCCCTCCTCTGTGCTGGGCCCTGTTGGAGGAGTTGAGGACACATCCATGAGCACAGCAGACAAAAATTCCTCCCTTGTGAGGCTGACATTCTAGACCAGGAACATAGTAAAGAAGCAAATTGCAGGGTATGTCAGATGGTGATAACCGCTCTGCAGAAAAACAAAGCTGGACGGGGTGGGGGTGAGGAGGAGATGGAGGAAGCCTCACCAAGAAGAAGGGGACCCAGGCAATGCCAGCCTGTGGGGAGGGTGGAGATGATGAAGGGCAGACAGACCCCAGCCCGAGGAGGTCACAGGGCGCGTGGAGTGTGCTTGGCGGGGCCAGTGCTGCCGGGTGAGACAGACGCGGTGACAGGCCTGGGGTCGGGGGACGGCTCCGAAGATGGCAGTGATGGGGGCTCTGAGCAGAACAGGGAGGTGGCATGACTCGGGTGTTTGCAGGGTCCCCCTGGCTGCATGTGGGCACAGGTCATGGAGGTGCCCATGAAGGGGCTGTTCCAGAAAGGTTGACAAAGAGGGGCTGTAGCTGGTGGGGCACAGCACGCCAAGCCGCTGCTTGCAACACTAGCATTCCATGGAAGAGTGTCAGTTCAAGTGTCAGCTATGCCGTGTCTGTTCCTGTTAGCATATTGCACCCGGGAAAGCAGCAGCAGATGGCCCAAGTGCTCCCATCCATGTGGGGGATCCAGAGGGTGTTGTAAGGGCCTGGCCCGGTCTGGGCTGTCTGGAGATGGCCCTGTGCCTCCTGTCCTGTGGTGGGGGGAGCCCTCTGAGGTTAGCGTCATTCCCCAGGCGGCACGGGGCAGGCCCTCGGTAATGCTAGCTGTGGAGTGCTGAGATGGATGGTACATTTCCCACAGCCCAGTGACATTCCTCTCCAGTGACCCACTTTCTGTTTTAAGAGACACAGAAGGAGAGACAGCCATCTCCATCCACTGCTTTGCTCCCCCAGACACCAGGCCACAGCCAGGAGTCTGCCACTCAGGAGTTTCCCTGGGGAGTGGCAGGGCCCCCGGCACTTGAGCCATCACCTGCCACCTCCCCTCCTTAGGGCACAGACCTGCAGGAGGCTGGAGCAGAAGCAGGACTGGATGCGGGGTGCACGTTTGCAAGCAGCGCTTTGGCTGCTGAGCTACCCCGGGGCCTGTGTGTGGTGATGACCCACCTCTGGCCTGTCCTCCTTTTTAAGGAGTCTTCCTGAAACACAGCATTCACTTCCCTCCCTCTGCCCCTCTCACGATCCCTCTTTATGGAAGACTCTGTTTTCTTTCTTTACCTGAAGGCTCCATCCTCTGCTGCCGAGACCCCCACCTTCCTACCTTGCTTGCTACCTACCACCTGGCCTCTGCTCCAGTCCCCAGATGCATGCCCGGGTAGGGTTTAGTTTGGCCTCCCCAGGGCCAGGCATGGCTGGGAAAGGGACCCACAAAGTCTGAACCCATCCCAGCAGCTTTGGGGCTATTGGCTGCCTCCCCTCAGCTCTGGTCCCCTGGGACCAAGTCCTGGAACCTACCTTGTAGACCTTTGGTCGCGAAGTGCAGGTCGATGGGGTGGGACCAGTAGGCCATGTCCCCTACCTGGGGGGTGTCCACCTGCGTCTGGCCTTCCCGCACACCTGACAGGAGCTTCCATGCTGCCCCTGCGGCAAGAGCCAGGACAGAGTCAGGGGGTGGAGTCAGGGGGTGGGAGGCAGGGGGGTGGGAGTCAGGGGGTGGAGTCAGGGGGTGGGAGGCAGGGGGTGGGAGGCAGGGGGTGGGAGTCAAGGGGTGGGAGGCAGCAGACGCCACTATGGGTGACAGGACTGTGTTTCCCTCTGGCATTTGGGAGAGCCTGATAACTGGGTTCAAATCCTGTCACTACCTCTTTAGGCAAGTTACCATTCTATGCTTTAGTCCCCACCATGTGCAAAATGAGCAAAAGGCACACACCTTATGAACTTGTGGGAAAGTTTGTCCAGTGAGTGTGGGGTGCAAGTTCCATATCAACACACTACACTTCTCACTCCACATGGAGAGGCTCACGGCACTAAGATAGGCTCATGGATGCCCTCTGGGAGCTTTTGGTGAAAAACATGGTAACAGGGATCCTACTTTTAGGGGTGGCAACTATGGGCTACATGCTTGGGGCACTGTGATGGGCTGAGCGCCTCAGGAAGTGCACTGCATAAATGCGCAGCCCACTCGACAGCGGCCTCCCCCGACTGTCCTGCGTGGCCCACGGCCTGGCCTGGCTCCTGCCGCCCTGCCTGAACTCCCTCCCTCCACGCCACCCGTGTGCTTCTCTGCTCCCCTTTCCCTTCCCCTACCCTAGGGCTTTTGCACTTCAATGTTCGCTTTTATGTGACGTGGCCCTTCTTGCATCCTTCAGGGCTCGGTTTAAGTGTCCTCTTCACAGAGTGCCTCTGACCATTCTATCCAAAATCTGTCACAGCATCCATTTCTTTTTCTTTGAAGACTTTTCACCTGGGGCTGTCATTGTGGCATCGTAAGTTAAGCCACCACCTGCCATGCCGGCATCCCATATGGATGCTGGTTTGAATCCTGACTGCTCCACTTAAGATCTAGTTTCCTGCTAATGCGCCTGGGAAAGAAGGCCCCTGCAATGCCCAGAGGAAGCTTCTGGCTTCCGTCTGGCTCAGGCCCGGCCATTGTGACCTTTTGGACAGTGAACCAAACAGATGGAAGATCTCTGACTCTTACTTACTTCCTATAATTTTTACATAAATGCATCTTTAAATAAGTAAAAAAAAAAACCCTAAATTTATAAAATATTTTATTTTTATTGGAAAGGCAGATGTAGAAGGAGAGACAGAAAGAAAGTTCTTCCATCCACTGGTCCACTCCCTAAATGACCACAGTGGCCAGAGCTGAGGTGATCTGAAGCCAGGAGCTAGGAGTTTCTTCTGGGTCTCCCACGTGGGTTCAGGGTTTAAGACTTTGGGTCATTCCTGACTACTTTCCCAGGCCATAACAGAGCTCTGGATGGGAAATGGGGCAGCTGGAACACGAACCTATATGGGATCCTGGTGTGTACAAGGCAAGGATTTAACCATTGGGCTATCATGCCAGGCCCCCAAAGCCCTGGACTGCGCCAGGCTGAAGGTGGGAGCTGGGAACTCAGCCCAGATCTCCCTTGTAAGTGGAAGGAATGTATCACACCACGTCCCAGGGTCTCCCGTGGCAGGAAGTTGAAGTCTGGAGCCAGGAATGCAAACCAGGATATAGGATGTGTACGTACAAACCGCGAGCTCAGTGCCTGCCCCATAACGCCTGTGGCTTTCCACTGAGCTGTGTCTTTATCTGCTCCCCCAACCGCGAGCTCCAGGACAACACGGCCTTTCACACGGCAGAGTCCCCAGCTCCGGGTATATGGAAGGCAGCTGTGCTCACCACTATACCGCCAACGCTGCTGCTCTGGGGATATGAAAGGTGGTCAGTCTACACTCCTTGGACAATGAAGTGACCTGAGAAGGCATGTGCCACTGTGATGCCCATTCTAACAAGAAACAGGCCCTGAGAGGGCAGGCCCTCGATCATTCGTTCTGTGAGTGATGTAGTCCGCTGAGCGCCCATGCTGCACCAAGCATCGTTCTCCCATGCTGAGGGTATGGCAGTGAGCACGGCACGCCCCGGCCCCTGTGGGGAGCTATCTTCAGAGCCCGACTGCAGGGTCCAAGCCTGCGAGCTCCCTGTTGGATCCACACCGCCCAGTGGCTCCCCCGAGATCACCAGAGCCCGCACCGGCCTGGCTGAGGGAGGCTCCCGGCCACCTCGCACCCCACAAGTCAGGCTCTTCACAGGCAGGATTTCCCAAAAGCAGCCGGAAGAAGAGAACCAGGAGGCAACGGAGGCCTCAAGCGGGGACAGCATCTGACCATGTCAACCCATTACAGCCCAATCCACAGGGATCCCGGCCTGAGGGGCAGACAGGGGTGACAGCCTCGTTGTCCTCACGGGTGTCTCACCAGGCAAGGCCTTCTCAGAGAGAATTCTGATGACAGAGGGTGGCCTCTCCTCCATAAATCTGAGGTGGAGATTTCTGTTTTACAAGAAGAACCTAAGTGGAGACTGCTAATCAAAGAATTATTAAGAGGGGGGAGGATCCGAGGACACCCTAAGGCAATCAGTGGGGTCCAAACAGGAGAGCTGGGTGGGCTAGTGTTTTGAGTATATATGGGGGGGTCTAACCTCGAACCCCATATCCTCAGGGGGCCTTTGCATTCAGAAGAGGGGTCTCAGGGTCTCCTGAGATGGGGTGTGAAGGGCTAGGAAGGGACTCTGGGACTCTTGAGAGCTCACGGAGAGAGGAGGTCAGGGGCCCGGGGAGAGTGTGGGGTCTTGGTAAGGCAATGGCCAGGTCTGGAGGAATGATTACCTGTGTGGATGCCCCACTTGCAGAAGAGACTACTTTCCGAGAAACCGGTGGCCCCCTGGATCTGTCCGATCACGTGCACCTCAGCCATGGCCCTGGGAGCAGAAAGACACAATCAGCCGTGCGAGGTGGGTGTATGCTCTGCATCTGACAGATGGAGAAACTGAGGCAGCTGTAGGTCTTGTGGACAAGCTAGTGTTGTCAGTCCCCGGAGGCTGCACAGCCTTAACCACGGATCCTGCCTCCCCAGGGCATGCTGCGTGGCCCTGGCCTGGGGAATAGGGGGGCGCTTAACGAACCCCTGCTTCTCGTCAACTCTCCAGACCACCCTCCCGGGAGCCGACAAGCTCCGCCCACGAGCTCCAGAAGCTCCGCCTCCTCACGGCCTCAGGTTCCACTGTGCGCCTGCGCTGCCAGGCCACGGGGGCCCCGCCCCTGCCCACAGCGCATGCGTCCTTCCTACCTCTGCGCGCTGAGCGGTTAGGAGCGCCCGGGATGCATGGGTCGAGCTTGTCTTCTTGGCGGGCGCGCCGGCCAGGCCGGCCTCGCGGCTCTTCTAGAACCTTCCGCACCGCCGCAGGCCTGAGGCGCCAAACCTGCGCGGCCACCTCGCCTGGACTCCGTCGCGTTGCTGGGACAACAGCGGGCTCCTCCCCTGGCCTCGTACCCGCCCTTCGCGTCGCCTATTGGGTGCTGGCGGCCCTCGAGGGGTGGGGCGACGCTGTCTGTGATGGACACGGGTTTTTCTCTCACTCCATTTTGGGAAAATCGAGCGTCTCTCGCCCGCCAAGGCCCGGGGCTCCGCCATCGGGGGCGTGGCTGGGCAGGTGCCATCTTGAGTGTGGCCAAAGGAAGTTGGCGCGGCCGCCCGTTTTAAAAATGCGCAAAAATGAACTTTGCGCCCTGCCTTCTCCTCCCCCACCCTCCCAAAAATCCCACACCTCTTTCTTGAAACACCAAGTGCGAAGGAGGTATTCCTCTTAGGACACGCATCCCCCTAACTCAGCGGAAAAACAAACCCTTCCTCATTCAGACTCCGGGAAGTTGGGGAGGGGGGTGGTTTCCCTTACTCGTGTGAGGTGCCCGGTCCCCGGGTTTCTCAAGGACCAGGGCGAGGCCGGCGTCCTCGCGGCTGCTGCCAGGCTTGCAGTTAGCACTGCTTCTGAGCGAGGGGTCGGGGGTGAAAGATGCGGAACTAAGTACCCCCGGGGTGCGCGAAAACGCCCGAGGTTTTGGCAAGCGCTTTTCCCCTCCTCCAAGTCCAGGACAACCGCTGCTTCGGACCAGCTCAACTCCTGCAAAGGGAGCAACTTCCATAGGGTAGCGCTCCGATAATAGGAGTAATTCAATGGAATAACATCTCCTCCTCGGAGCCTCACGACTTCCCCTGGGATAGGCAAGAGCGCGTTTGTTTTTTTTTTTTTTTCCCTAAGAAGAATTGAAGGTGACGTCATTTGCCTTCAGCCGCATGGTCACTTGGGGAGCGAAGACGGAAGATCTTTCCCTCAGTCTTTCTTCCCCTCCCCCCGTGTATCTTTCCAATTAAAAACAAACAAACAAAAAAGCTGTCACTGCTGCTGCCTCTTGGATACACCGCCCGCCCCCCTCCAGGGTGACTGACAGCACCACCTTGCAGGGTTGTTATGATAAACCCGCAGGGACCAGTGTTGGGGTACAGTGGGCTGAATCCCCATTTAAGACACCTTCATCCATTATCAGAGTGCCCAGCAGGAGTCCTGGCGGCTCTGCTTTGGATTTGGCATCTGAGAAAACATCTAATAATGGCTCAAGAGCTTAGGTCCCTGTGTTCCATGTGGGAGACAGGTTGTCAGTCCAGGCTCCTGTCTTCATTTGTACCAAGGCCCTAAAATTGTTTGCGGAGCGAACCAGCAGATGGAATCTCTACTTCTCTCTCCCTCTCTTTCTGTCTCATGTCAAATTAACATATCTTTAAAGAAAATTAACACCGGGATTGGCACAATGGCTCAACAGGCTAATCCTCCACCTGCAAGCACCGAGATGCCACATGGGTACCAGCTCATGTTCTGGCTGCCCCGCCTCCCAGCCAGCTCCCTGCTTGTGGCCTGAGAGCACAGCAGAGAATGCTCCAAATCCTGGGCACCTTGCACCCACGTGGGAGGCCCAAAGGAGACTCCTGCTTCCTGGGTTCAAACGGGCTCAGCTGTAGCTGTTGAAACCATTTACACAGTGAAGCAGAAGATGGAAGATCTTTGTCTCTCTGCTTCTCCTTCTTCCTGTAAATCTACTTTTTGAATAAAAATCATTAAAAAATTAATGTCGCCTTATTTTACGATCATTTAAAAAATTATTTGAAAGAGTGACAAGCGGGATACACACACACACACACACACAGATGTTCCATCTGCTGGTTCACTCCCCAAATGTCCACCACAATTGGGCTGGGCCAGCGCAAAGCCAGGAGCTCCGTCCTGGTCCATTGCGTGTTACTGGGGTCGTACAGACTGGAGCCTACATCACAGCCTCCCAGAGACGCGAGCAGGAAGCTGGGCAGGAAGTTCATTTGCTGTGATTCAAACCTGTCATTCTTATATGGGGTGCAGGAAGCTTCACCCCACCTGTACCACAACATCCTCCCCTACCTTCTCCATTAAAAAAAAAACATCATGTATTTAGTTATTTGAGACACAGGAAAAGAGTTCTCTGGTCCTGTCCCCAGTGCCTACAACTGCTGGGCTGGAGTGGAAGCTAGAAACTCAATCCCAGTCTTCCACACAGGAAGGAAAGATTTCCCTCCCATTACTCAAGCCATCCCCCCAGCCTCTCAGGGTGTGCGGTGGTAGAAACCAGAGACAGGGCCTGGAATCCAGAACCAAATTGAGTTACTGGGATGAGGGACACGGGTACCTGACCACCGGGCTAGACACCCGCTTCTGTCAGTCCTGTTTCCACAGCTGTTTGAAGTGTGTCTCTCCCAGGGTGCAGCCCCAGAGGCATAGCAGTGAGCCAGAGCACATTTGGCCCAGCCCTCGTGGGATGGGACAACTAGAGTGAGGCCAAGGAGAAGGTCACGGGGCATTGTCTGGTGACAGGGTCCTGTTCCTCTTCTCTTTTTCTCCCCGCAACCTCCCCTCCCACTGGGTCTCCCCACCTGGTCGTCTGCCAGAAGCTCAAGCTGAGCCAAGCCTGCCCCGAGACGCCTTCTGGTCTCCCTCCCCAGAACTGCAGCCTGTGCCAGCTGCAGCGTCTGGACTCCTGGCTGCGAGCCCCGGAGCCATGGAGCAAGGGAACTCCAGTCTCACATCAGACCTGAGAATCCTCTTGTCTGGCGAGGGTCGGGGGAGGGGGACTTCTGGGAAGACCAGGCCAGAGCAGGCTGGGTGGGCTTCCTGAAGGAGGCGGACGCTTGCAAGAAGGGTGCAAATCATGCCCGTGAACATCGGGTGCTCACTTTGCCTGGTTCTGGGAAGATGGTGCATCTGAGAACCAGCACATCTCGCACTGCCCTCTCTTCAGCCTCCTTTCCCTGGATGCCCCAGCCCACCCTCTGCCTCCGTGTTCTCCCCCACTCCCGCCTTGGGCCAACAAGGACCACAGGCCGGGGTTCCACCTGGGTTCCAGGCAATGCCAATCTCAGCCAAGTTGGCCAACTTTCCTGTGCCTATCTCCCACCACAGTAAGGTAGAGGATGGCGCATTCCAGGGTTGCTCTAAGGAAGGCATAGTTCCTTAGAGCATGTAGTGCACAGGGAGGTGGGGCCGGGGTAGAGCTGCCATGGCTGTGAATGCTGTTACTGAGTTTTGGGCAGCAAGGGTAACTGGAGCTGATGTAGGTGACCACAGCATAAGGCCTGGGCTTTGAGAGAGCAGCTCACGGGACTCCCACAAAAGGGATGGAGCAGCGGTTCAGAAAGCTGCCGAGGGAAGGAGCCAAAAGACGGTCACCCCGCCCAGCTTCCCTGCTGCACGGGGGGTGGGGGTGTGTGTGGGGGTAGTCCCCATGCTGTGGGATCCTGCCCAAAGTGGATGCAGGGTACCCAGCACCTGAATGAGACTGTGGGCAGTGGAGAGAGGGGCGGAGGGAAGAACTGCCCTTCGCTATCCCCCTTCCCTGCCCTTGGTCCCGGGCATTGGGGAGGGGTGCAAATCTTTAGGGAGGAATCTTTCAAGGTTTGCGGTGTGAGGGTTTGGGATTTGGTTGCACCGGCAGACTTTTTCCCAGTCAGGTAGTTACGTGATCTCTGTGGTGGAGGGGGAGAGGAGGTCACGGGGGCTATGGAGTCAGGTGCGCAAAGATTTGGAGTGAGCTTATGGATGTGGGGAGGCGTTTGGCATCGTGCGTGTGAGTGGCAGTGGGAAGAGGTGTGTTCACTGGAATGAGTGTGGAGCAGGGGTACAAGGGGAGCGGTGGGAAGGGGGATGGAGTGTGCAGGGGGGCCCTGCGTATGTCGGGCCTTGCCTAGATTGTGTGCCGGGGTGCCCAGGCACCGGGCGAAGGAACGTATGGCCCAAGTGAAGTCCTAGGTGTCACAGGAAACAGGTGTGCGCACCTAGGAAGGGTATGGGGGCTTGGCTGGTGGTGAGAGGGTATGAAGCTGGAGTGAGTGTCTATGTGTGTTGGGGGGAGAGATATGCGTGTGAGGCATGGTTTGGAAGAAACTTACATCAGATTTGTAGGTTTCACCAGAAAGAAACCCAGAACTGAGAGTTCAGACCCCCTAGTGCCTTCACCTCAGTTGTCCTATCTGTAAAACGGGTCTTTGGGTGATGGCACCAACTCTCTGTGTCTCCAGAGCAGGCAGAGGGTGAAGAAGAAACTGATGCTCCTCTCCCTAGCCTCAGGCAACCCCTCCTGGCATCCTGCTCAGCCTCAGACACCCCGAGTCTTCCTGAGCTCCGGGATCCCCCCGCCCCTCTTCACGCCCTCCCTCTCCTCTGCATTCCTTGGCCTTTGGTTCTTCACTTTCCCGATCCCAACTCCATGGCGCAGGAACCTGTGGCCTGGTTTCTTTTTATTATTTTTTTTCAGTAAATGTCACTTTTCATAATTTCTTACTCATTGTACACAATGTCAAGCTTATCTTCAAAAAAAATTTTTTTTTAAAAAATTTTGCTTAAAAGGCAGATTTACAGAGAGAGTGAGGACCAGAGAGCTCTTCTACCTGCTGGTTCACTCTCCCGATGGCTGTAACAGACACAGCTAGACACGTCCAAAGCCAGGAACCAGGAGCATCCTCTGGGTCTCCTGCGTGGCTACAGGGGCATCTGCTGCTCTTCCAGGTGTATTAGCAGGGAGCTAAATGGGAAGTGAAGCAGCTGGGACTTGAACCTGCATTCTTGTGGGATACTAGCATCTCAGCACTAGCCCCTTTCTTTCTTTTTTTCTTAAGATTTATTTATTTTTATTGGAATATCAGATCTGCACAGAGGAGACACGGAGAGAGAGCTTCCAGCTGCTGGTTCACTGTGTAAATGGTTTCAACAGCTACAGCTGAGCCTGTTTGAACCCAGGAAGCAGGAGTCTCCTTTGGGCCTCCCACGTGGGTGCAGGGTGCCCAGGATTTAGACCATTCTCTGCTGTGCTCTTAGGTCACAAGCAGGGAGCTGGCTGGGAGGCGGGGCAGCCAGGACATGAGTCAGCACCCATGTGGGACCCCAGTGCTTGCAGGTGGAGG